AAAATATGTTGATGATTTGGCCATCTTGAAAAGTTCTTCTTGAATAGAACATATAAATCATGATCATATAAAATTTAAACCAAATCCATTCACTGGTATTTGGGTTTAAAATTCAGCCGCCATCTTGAAAATTCTTACTCAAACAGAACTACTGTGTACCTAGGCATTAGCATATAACATTTAAACCAAATCCGTTCACTAGTATTTGAATGGCGGTCATTTTGAAAATTGGAATCTGATTAATGTAGTTTATAATTACCCCAAAGATATTTTTGGAACAAAAACACGCCAAATTAAATATGGTTAACCATAGACAATAGCCCAAAAATAAAGCAGAGACAATCAAAAGCATGTGATCTAAAACAAAAATAGTTTACGAAGTGATTGACAATATTTTCATTAATTTCACCGAGATGGAAATTTATTTGAATCCAAATGTTTTACCCGTGTATGTGTTAATAGTGGAGAGGTTAAGCTTTGCATATATAATCGAAACTGAACCTGTACGTATCACTCGACTATATACAAATTCATGTAGCCTTCTCATATAAATAGCCGTTCAAATCCAGTGTTTGTTTAGACTACACCATAGCGTGTAATGATTCTATAGTATGTCATTGATGCGGTTTTATAGCTAGTTTTCTAATACATATTTTAAACGAGCTCGTTTCGTAAGATTTTTGGCGCTAAATCATGCATGATATACATCATCGTGTTCAGCAAGAATTCAACTGTGCATCGAAATCAAAATTGACAGCATAGTGTTCAATAGACACGAGTAAAATGGTTCCCGTTGACCCAACGTCAAATTTCAAATCTCCCGTTCTAAACCCGAAACTCTGAAGCTGAAAGAGTATCTGAAGTAGACTAAGCGCGCATAAAACTATGAGCGCTCGATACATTTCTTTGTTAATTTTTGTACTTTGCGTTCACGGTTACGTTGTGAAAAACATCGTTAGCTTAACCTCTCCAGTAACATCCTTTTACTGAAAAGCGAATCAATCACTGATATATACATCCATAGTATCCAATAATCGAGTGAGGAACCCCTCTCTTTACGGAATTCAACAGATAACGTTGCTGAAGTAATGGAATTCTTCCTCGATTATTGGAGCTGCTGGATATATTTGCCTATTACTGACTAGCTTTTCAATTATTACCGGATGCTACTATTAACATGAGGGTAAAATATTTGAGTACAAATCAACCTCTTTATTATTGAAAATTATGAAAATAAAAAATTCTTTCAAATTTTCTACAATGGCAGTTGTTATCCATTTTGTTATAAAAACTTAAGGTGCGGTAGTAGTTAACAGGAAATGACAAAACCATGCTGGATTTTCAAAAAATTTTGAACCAAGATAACAGAGTTCTGTTTGGACCTCCAGTCAGTTTAACTAGTTCCAAATATCATTTACATGACAGAGAACACAATGGACTAAGATCATTGAACATTCCTGTAGGTATGGATGAAAATATACAGAAGCATACACTTCAAAAGCAGTTAATATAATCACTCATCAATTTATTTAATTGCAGATGTCTTTAACGGTTCCACAACTAATGATACATCCAGCGCCTCATTGGCGATAGTAGCTGTTGTGTGTGGGACCGTTTGAAGTTCTACTTTCGCCTATCTGATCTGTTCTTTTATTTTTCTGATAAATGCAGATCTGGCGTTAGTGCTAATAAGTCATTACCTGATAAAGCATCATTGGAATCGCCCATTAAAGCCAAATCAATAGACTGACCCTTAACTCAAGGAGGATTGGCTCCCAGAGTGCAACATCGATATTCTGTCCCATATACGGGCATGTTGTGATACAGAATTCGAATTTAAACAGCCGCCATTTTGTTCACTTAAACATTTGAATAGTGAATTTTGGTCTTATTTCCTAACGAAAGATTCCAAAGCTCACAAGAAATGTTCGAATCTTTTGAACTGTTTATTTTGAACTTATAGTCGGTTATAATTTCAGAAAATAACGACATTTCGACGTTTTCATTGTTGGAAAATATCGAGTTTCGATCCTAGGAGCCAATCCTCCTTGCCCTCAACCCATGGTCATGGAGCGAATGATATCTCATCGTCACTCCCACTCTTGGTAAGTGTATCGTTCGATTTGTTAGACAGCTTATCTAACACACCATCGTTGATTTGAAAAAGCGGTACCTGGCCAATTTATTTATTTTTAATTTGAAAGCATCATCTTGAATGATAAATTATGTTGACAAAGTACCAAGTTATTTTGAATTCATTTCTACAAACACACCAGGGTGGTACTAGTATCTGTAGCAGTTACGGACAGACGTGCAGACGAATGGACAGACGGACAGACTCACATAGACTGTGTACTTTTATTGACAGGAGTCTTTGGGGACTTCATTTTCTTGTCAAATAACACCATCCAAACTCGTCAAAATAACTCCAAATCTTGACAAATATTATCTGTATTAAACCAATCAGTCTATCAATGAATTCTTCGATCCAGTTCAAATGCAACAACATATGGTTTATTTGCTGTAGTTAAATCGATTTGCTCATCATCAGTGGTCACAAATGGGTTATTCCAAATGAGGTAATGGTTTGATTGGCTACCAAGAAAATATAGGATATTATAAAAGTTCTTCTATGAAGACCATTAATGAGCTGGTTGCAGGCATAAATTGTCAAGGAAATAATGTGAATGTATATAATAAGTGATCGATGACCTTGACCTTCTTATCGAGGTTTTGCTACGTTATACTTATTTGCAATTGCCATAATGGCTTTCGGAATACGCAAAATTTGAAGCGAGATTTGGTCTTATTTCCGAACAAAAAGTTTAAAACACGCAAGAGGTGATCTAGATATGAGTTCAAATCTTTTGGATCGCTGATAATGAATTATAAATAGTCAGTTATAATGTCAGAAATAACGACATTTTTAATGTTGTCGACAATCAAGGTCAGCACTTGACAAATTGAGAATAAAACGTTTGATTCCGAGCCACAGGAGCCAAACCTCCTTGCATAAAAGTTTAATTTTTGTTCACTGAACCGTGTCAGGTTACATTGACATCTATAACGAGAATTGAAGATATCGAAGTGTTTGATTTCAGACGATTTTAGCTACTCGATCTCTCATGGACCTATGGGCTTAAATTTCAGTACAGTGCTGATATATAATAATTAAGGGTGCATTTTCAAACTAAACAGAGTGCTCCTATCAAAATGAATTTGCCTACATACTCCTGAGACTCTTATCTGATAGATAGAATGCACAAATAAAACAAAAGTTTTGCTATTATAGGTAAAAAGTTTTCTTGAAATTTCGGAGTGATTTTACCTGTTAATTCTGTCCATGGTCCGCCATTTTTGCGGAAGTTACACTGAAACGCAAACTCCATGAAACGAAACGAAATCACTAGAAAAAACATGGCACACATTGTGCGCATGTGCAGCAAAGTTTAGACCAATCAGATTATTTGATTATTTTGCGCACATGAATTATTTGCTTCTGAGCACTTACAAGCTTACCACAATAAACAAACCTGGCAGAGACTACCCTTAGCCTACTCCATTTTGGCGAAATTTCAGCTCAAACTCGTGACAAATGCATTATACATACGCTGGTGTGAAGCCTTGGAGACACTCATTTTGGTAAATATGATTTATGGGGTATACTTTTCTGCAGTTTGTGGGAGTTTGGAACATTAAATGTTAAAATTCAAGAAAATATGCCAATTAAACGACTGATCAATTAATATATACCAGCACTGTAATATTAAAGTATCCGCCTTTTCTTGGCTACGTATAGCACAAGGATTACACTATGCCCAATGGTTACACCCGAACTGTCACATGCAGTGCGATGAAGCTGAACTATTAACACCGTGACGATAATTCACTCACTAATTAGTTGAATAGGAAACACAAAGGAAATCAAATGTTAAACTGTACCTGACCTGTTACATGCAGTGCACTGAAGCTGAACTAATTACACTCACTTCTCAACACACCTCATAGTTTATGCAAAAATATCAAGATTTCTTAAAATTGAATCATGGTATCTTTACCTTTCATAAGAGTCAGTATGGGGTTTAAGTAAGAAAAATCATTCGTATTGGAACTTAGGAGAAGTAATTGGCGCAAAACCCAGTATTCACAGGTTATGCGTAACAGAACATTTTGCCAATGAATATTTATTTTCAAGACATGATCAGATAATACTCTTTTTCAAAATTCCATCATTATGACTGTTAATGGCGCAGCATTCGTTTGAAAGTTATTTAGACTTCGTCTAGAAAGCTCTAAACTGCAGCTGTTTGTTCTGTCTTGATTATTACCATCTGCCATTTTGACAGATAAGATAGTGGTCGCGAGAGCCAAGATACTGTCCAGTTGTTTTTGATTTAATCGGAAATTATTTTATAAAGAAGCTTAGCGTCAACGTTTGCATCTCTTATGTTATTTGAGTCAAAGGCAAATCAACCTTGAAAGATATTTACATATAAATAATATAAAACTACAAATACTGTATAAAGTTCAGGCTTTTTATTCTGCACCCGTTACAGCTCAAACTCGTTTCCCAGACATATCGTGCCTTGGAAATCCAAGATGTTACAGCTAAGGAGCAACTAGTTTCCAAGCGCGTCCGGTCAACCGCCTCGGGGAATGAGCATATGGTGAGATATTGAGATTGCTTCTTGTAGTACACAAAATGACATGCTAATATGACTTGTTTACTTTTACTTTCCATTGTAGAATGATTTTGCAACATCAGAACAAACACTACATTGTAGCATTGGCTTTCAACTAGAGAAAGCCCATGGTTGTAGCTGTTGATTAGAATTCAAGAGTGCGTTTTTACGCAATTACGCAATTCAAATCGGGTGAGGTGATTCAATTGTTTATTGTAATTCTCCCTGTTGATATGAGATTATGCTATCTTAACCTGGTTTGAATCATTTCCTTACTAAAGTCGTACACTGCGACATCATTTTCAACCTAATATAGAAACAAAAGGTGCGAGGTTAAACACAGAGCCCACGCAAAGTGCGATTCAACTATTCGAAAATATGTTATTGGTTCGTTCCAATATACAATTGCATTATTGCTTCAAGTATCCTTTAGAAGCAGAGCCGGTAACCGACAACAACCGTCAATTGTTTCCTCGTCTAATCTATTCTACGCTACCAGCAAATCAAAATTGATAACTAACGCTGATGACGTCATAAAATATCAATCCGAATCTCCAATCAAAGTTCGAGTTCAGATGTTACGACGCTACGCCTAATAGCAATCCAAGGGCGGTAAGATAATTTTAGGCGGAGGGATATAATAGCTTGCGATCGGTAGATACTTCCATTTCGCTAAAGATCACAAAAGAAAAGGCCCGAAAGAAAAGGGCAACGGATTCCAGAGGAGAGGATACATTCATAACAGGCAAGGAAATTATATTATATAAATAATTATATAAAAATTAATACAATGGAAGTTAGTGATAAGTTGTTCCTAGATTCACCTTAAACGAAGTATTGTTCGTATATTAATTGTATAACTAAAACAGTAAATAATCTATAAAAACGTAGCTCAAGAAATTGGCGGAAATACTATTCGTCTCAATTCCTCTAACTTCTGGATAAGTTAGTTAACGTTGGCTTATTAAACGAACATTAGGGTAATTTTATAGTACTAATTTTGCACCAGATAAATTACGTAACGATTACAACAGACAGAAACGTCCATCTACTTAATCAAAATAGTTGTTTCTCCTTGAAAGGTCTAGAAGAAGGGATTATGTGATGCAATTTAAACGGAAAAGCTAAGGCAACGAAGTAAAATAATGAGTAAAGATCGTTGCTGATAAACCCTGTGAATTGTGCGCTTTAAGAGAACCATCGATCAACTCTCGTTTGTCGCTACATCGTGAATTTCTTTGTCGAAAAACAGCTGTTCTTAACAGTACAAAAACTCAATTACGGTGATGAGGTTTTGATATTTTTAGTCATTCAATCTTCGACAACTATGTCAATGACATCAATGAATGCAGGTTGTGATTCATGAACGGTGTTGATGGCGCCATGTAGTGAAAACCAAAAGTGACAGAACCAATTAGTTCAGTATTTTACCTAAAAACTGGTTCACAAGTTTGATTTTCCGTTAATATGAAAACTTCATTACTTGGGAATCGAAGATATATTTTACAATTTTAGCGATCGCAGTGTTAGGTGTGATAAAAGTCGTGAATGAAACAGCTAAAGTCAAATCAATTACAATTTATCGAATTAATTAATTAAGTCTAATTTTTCAATTTGTAATGAATTTCCTACGTAATGTGTTCATTCTAATCATCAAAAACGAATGTTTCTATGTTGTTCAACATAATCAACCGTGTCAGAAAGTCGAGATTTTCTCAAAAAATAACCGTGATCCGTTTCCTGATATTTTCCTGTATACTATTCAAACCAGGATTTTATTTTTTGTCAATCTAATCAGTTTAACATAAACCCGAGTGACAAATATACTTAGTCAAAATGACTCAACCTTATATGCCTTGATGATATTCTTCAAATACACGAAATAATTTTGAAATTTGACAGCTCTAACTTTGCTACCAAATCGAACAGCAGATACTGTATATTGAAGAAGTAGAATATGCTAGCAACAAATAAAGTGTCTCGATGTTAACCCATCTGAGACCAGTTCATTACTTAACATGAAATCTCTTATGTTCAAAGTTAAATGGTAAGTGTTGACCCATTGCAAACTTTTCAAATTACAATTTTTCTCACATTGATAAGCAATTTCTAAGTAACAGTCATTTTTGCGATCAATTGTGTTAGTTGTTTCCTTGTCGCTATGGAAGGTAAGAGAAAACCAAGTCATCATATGTATAAGCTATGTCAATTTTATAACTGATATGTATCATAAGCTATCAGTGATTTAGAAGATGAATCCAACATTCACGTTGTGTTATTTGTCGACGTAATTGAGTATTTTCCGGCTAATATACAGGACATAATGTCATTTTCAGAATTACTATTGGGAGAATCATTCTCTTCCGGAGGTTGTTCAATTTGTACAAATTGGAATTTACCTTATTCGATCATTTACAGACCGCAGTGATTGCTATGGGTATTTAACCCTTTGAATATCCAGAGTAGATCGTCTCACCAGACTGACAACAATTTTGACAATATATATGAATTTCTAAACTATGTTTTAGATAGTCTTTTACAAATTGAACATCGTGGAAATAATTTTCTGGCAGAAAAAAAAATGTTCTGGAAGCCATGAAGTTAATAAAGTTGAATTCGGGGTTAAATATCAGCGACTGTATTACACTCCCCTCCATAAGTTTGGCAACCTTTGCCCCCCCCCCATTAAACTACATGTTGAAGCCTCTTTACCTTTGAATTTTGATTTACTTAACCTACGATGAAAATACTTTTACTATTGATAGAAACGTAATTTGACTCAGTATATAAAAAATATTTTTATATAGAAAATTAAATTGTCTTACTTTTTTGTCACTAATTGTTTAGTTTACTTGATGAATACTAAAGCTATAGAGCTTCAAAGTCATTTTTGAAAATCTTTTTTTCGCCTCTTGTGTTATTTCAATGGGAGAGTTTTTTTTAAAAAACATTTTTTACTTTAAAGACCTATAACTTTGTAGAACCTGAAGAAACGTATCAATTTTTTGTTTAATAAAGTTAGCAAATTCAATTGCCTACCCAACTTGTATTTTTTGCAATGACTCGGATGAATGGATCTTCTGCCATATGACTTGCGGCAAACCTACCATTTCCCATTGGTTAACATGGGAATGGCGATTTTCAAAAATTCATCAAATTTATCATCAATTTTCGACCTATTGTAATTGAGGAAAAAATTGAGAAAATTTGGATGTATTGAAAATAAAGTCAAATTACGTTTCCATCAATAGTATAAGTATTTTTACCGCAGGTTAAGTAACTAAAAATTCAAAAGTAAAGAGGCTTTAACACGTAGTTCAATGGGGTTTGGGCAAAGGTTGCCAAACTTATGAAGGGGAGTGTACCATTGCTGTTACCGAGCTCACAATGTCAACAGATAACACAACATTGTAATAAATATTCGAGGAAATATGTTCCGCCGTCTTATATTTATCAGAAACTGTGTTACTATCAATAGCTATACAGTGTATAACAGGGAAATATTAATCAAGATCGCCGCTATGATAAACACGCAATTTGTCTTGTTTCTATAGGCTCTAAATTCAAAAATCCGACCTTGGACATATCTAGCATGCGAACATATCGAATAGTAGTTTCAAAGAATCTAAGTGAGTTAATATAAATAATTAAAATTTCTTATGCCATTGACATATTATTTTTACAAATGGAAATAATATTCGTGCGAACAACCGACTCTTTTGCATATTAAAGTTCTACTGCACACGAAACGAAAACTAAATTTTCCTTTTGCTATCACAGCTTTTTAATCAAACATTTATTTGATAGATTTAATAATACACCTCGAGCTAGATAGGTTTCATATAATTTTTGATACACTCATAGTTGGGTCAGTTATTCCTTTCCACCCCCTTTGCTCATGGCTGTCTTTATTAACACACCTTCCATTGCAAAGAACAATATTGACATCTGATGATCCGATGAAATAGTTAAAAATTTAAAAATTTACCGAGTACCTGTACCGGATGCACAGATGTATGTAAACGTAAATAAAAAAACTGTTAATGCACAAATAAAAAAGACATGGAGTAATGTTAATGATTGTGTTAATTATGATTAACAACAAGAGTCGATTGCGAAACGAGCGGATAAATATTTCTTAATAAATGAAATACAATAATAAGTAACAATCGAAATAATCATATATGTCGTTGATTATGGTTATGCAAGCAACAGCAATTTGCAAATTTGATAATATATTATTTGTATATAATAGTAAATAATAAATGTATTTGGTTTAAATGAAAGTGACTTCGGTACAGGCGGAGGTAACGTATTTGTTAAATGAATAACATCATAAAATATTTTGGAACGATTAAAATTCCACCTAGAAACTTCACTTAAACGTTTGTCCTCTCGAGAACTAATGGGATATCAATTTTAAAAACATAATTACCAACCTTACCTAATCAAATTATTAATTCCATGGGGATAACATTGTCTTCATGAATTGAGATTAGAAAATCTCGAACATAACTAATATCGTTTCATCCTAACTTCATGAATATTTTCCTGGTATATCTGGTCCTGGATTGTGATATTGGTTCTCGATTGGAGGGGGAGGGGGATGTTAGACATTGTTTCTTTTCACGTTAGATCATGGTTTTGGGATATATAGGTTTCTTTAAAGTTTTTAGTCACCTTTCCCTTTTGCTTTTGAGCTTATATATTCCCAAGCTAACAAAATGGACATTATTCTGAAATAATCATAATTTGTGGATATTACTCAATCCAGGTCTTGAACCACAAAATTAAACGACAATTCAAACGTACGAAAACAACCCTGGAATTTCTGATTAACCCCGTTCAATCTATGACGTTGTTATGTTAGTTCGTTACATTGATAAATTATTGTTAACTAACCTAATATCTGTCTGATATTCTGATTGTGTGATGTTTGGATAGCCCTTCATTTCCAAGTAGGTCATTGAAAATGTATGACTAGGCTGCTAGGGGAGTGCGTGGATATCTAAGCAATGTATACATGTATATTACCCTTTGCATTCGTTTGACTTCACTTCTTAAGAGAGAGAGCTTCGTCTTCAGTTTAACTAGACTCTGCACGCAGGGTACATGTGCTAATCGAGACAATAATCCATGTATGGATAATTTAGTTCCTTTCCAACCAGCTGATACCGATAGAGTATTCCAATATAGCTGTGAATGAAAAAATAAAAATACTTCAACCAAACAATTTCGATTTTTTAATTTTGTCAGCTTTGTCATTAATCTACATAATCTTCATTGGCGCTGAACTCACAATATTTTCACTTGGCACCTTTTGAGGTGGATCCCGGCTATTGCATTAATGGTTGAGAAATAGGAATCGAAACCAGCCATAGTTTTCTCCTGATGACCATTGTGAATTATTGTGTTTTGTGGATTATGGCGACGGCTTTTGTGAATGGATGTTGACCCTTTGAAACGCCTATGGACTTGGAGACTGGATTTATCTATCCCACATCATTTGAGACTGAATGCTCTATCTTGTATAAGTACTTGTATGTACAACTATTTTTGAGGTTATGAGTATTGGCTATCAATTTCTAATTTTTTCTTCAACATGTATTGTAATGACTTCAGTATGAATGAAATGTCCCTTGGTCATCTGGCCTTGGATTGTGATATTGGTTCTTGAATGTTGGTTTGAAAGGGGGTATTAGACATTGTTTCTTTTCACGTTAGATCATTGTTTTGGGCTATATG